AAAGATATTTATTCAGACTGTGAAGGTAGTTATCAATAAGTGATGGGATTTGAACATTTTTTTCCTATTTGATGGTGTAGTTTCATTTTACTGTTGAAAACAAATAAAAATCATTCTAAATGGGTTTAAAATTAAGTCAATAGATGAATACTGACTTTTTAATAATATTATCTTTTCATGCTCAATGAAAAAACTCTATGCAGCTTGGGTTTTATCCTGATTGGCAATCAATCTCTCCTACAGATAATTATAATTATGGTCATCATTTATTCAGTGTCAGGTACACTATATTAAGCTACTGATATCTATTATCTCACTTAACTCCCCAAAACAACCCAATATATAGATGAGTATCAGCATTATCTTGTTTTACCTATTTGGAAATAGACACCAAGAGCTTTATGAGTAAAATTTAGCAAACAGAAGTGTGACTAAAAGGGGAGCAAAGACTTGAACCCAGATATTCTGCTCCAAGAGCCTATTCAACTAATCCACCTCTCATACAGAGAGAGGGAACTGAATTCACACAAGTTATATAACTGCAAAGAATCACTATAGGGGCAAAAGCATAGGAATTTAGAAAGAAATTACAGCAAAGCGAACACAATAATATCCTAAAACTCTAAGAATCTGAAGATTTCCCTTTCTTTTAACTATGATGTTTACTTCAAATATCACAGACACATGAGCAAATACAAAACAGCCATTTCAGAACAACAGTAACAACTTTTCAACCATATTCTCAAAGAAGAATCTAATTTACAAACTTCTGTTTAGTTCTCCTGTTCTCAGGTCACAATTATCAAGTACCCTTACTTATGTATAGTAATTCTCATATTCTTCATTTAAATGACATTTTCCATACCCCCCAAAACTCCAAGGTTTTGAAGGTGTAAATACCCCAATTTGTCCTCTTCTATTCATCTATTCTGTTATCTGAATTCTGTAATTTTGTCAAATAAGTCAAATTTACACCAAATTTAGTGCAAAATTTGACTCTCATTTCAAACCAATCTTGAACTTGAAATGCACTCTCTTTAAGCATACCATTCATCATCTTATATTGCTGGATGCCTGCTTGTTCATTTTCTTTCTTTATTAACTAGTTGTTCTGCCTGCTAAAAACAAGTCAACATTATTCATGAAGATTTCCTTCAGGCCTCTCTCTTCCTATAACTCTGTATCCTTTTCACAGGGTACCTGGCTATCTTCCTTCCTTTGTATACCTCAGAATCTCACACAGGTTCTACCTCTCAGTTATCTTTCATTTTCCTATCTTGGCCTCACATAGAGATAGGATAGAATACAATTCACATCATTCTTCTTCCCCAATCACTGCACTAGAGCAGCCTTCCATGGTGACCCTGAAGGATAATCATGCGTGTTCCTGGAGTCCCTTCTTGTACCTCTGCCAGGCCACTAAACTAGCACCCCTCTTCTAAATTCACGTAACTATTCACCATCTATTATACCTTTTAAGATCACCTTCAACTACTTGCTTTTTGCTTCCTCAATTGCCCCATCAGATATTTTAAAAGCTGATATAAACCTATTATTTTACAATAGTTTTAGATCTACAAAAAAGTTGCAAAGAAAAAGTACTTTGTATAGTCCACATTCAGTTTTTCCTACTGTTAAAATCTTATATTACTATGGTACATTTGTTACAGCTTATAAATCAGTACTGTTATATTTTCATTAGCAAACTCTATACTTTATTCAAATTTCATCACTTTTTCCCATATGTCCTTTTCCTATTCCAAGATCTTGTCTAGGACACCACATTACATCTAATCTTCATGTCTCTTTAGGTTCTTGCTAGCTGTGTCAGCTTCTCAGACTTCCCTTGTTTCCTTGATGACCCTGACAGTTCTGAGGAATATTAGTTAGGTATTTATAAGTTATGTCCCTCAACCGTGATTTGTCTGATGTGTTTTTCATTATTAGACTGTAGTTATGGATTTCTGGAAGGAAGATCACAGAGGCAAAATGCCATTCTTAACATGGTTCATGGCTGTACACTGTATCATATCAAGGTTGTATACCATCAACAACTTATCATTGTTGATGTTGATCTTGATCACCTGGCAGAGATATAATGTCTGTCAGGTTTCTTTACTGTAGTCACTTTCTCCCCACACTTGCTTTCCATGTTAAACTCTTTTTAATGGGGGGAGGAAGTTTGAATCTTACTCTGTCACCCAGGTTGGAATGCAGTGGCATTATCATGGCTCACTGTAGCCTCGATCTTCTGGGCTCAGGCAATCCTTCATCCTAGCCTTCCAAGTAGCCGGAACTACAGGTGTGCGCCACCACAACTGGCTAATTTTAAAATTTATTTTAGAGAAGAGGTCTTGCCAAGTTGCCCGTGCCAGTCTCGAACTCCTAAACTCAGGCAATCCTCTTACATCTAATCCCAAAGTGCTGGGATTACAAGCATGAGATACTGCACCCAATGCCATCATTTTGTTTGTTGAGGACTTTTTTCTTTCTGGCACTACAAGTTGCTCTAGGACCATCCTGTGTTTTCTCTCCCCTCCCTAGAATCAAGTATTTTTCTGAGGAGGCCTAATTTCTTTCACTGGACAATGGTTATTAGAAACCAAGATCCAAGCACCTGATACCACCAGAGATTTTTTAATGCTGCTGGTATTAATGATTTCATAACAGATGAAATAAAACCCTTTTCTTTTTGTCATTAAGAAAAAAATGTTTCCTCTGAACTGAAAATCAATGTGACCCTAACAACTTGCCCTGAAACCCCTAGTGGCCCATGACAGAAAACCAAGCGACTTCTTAGATTCCTCCCTTTCCTTCTTGACTCAGAAGAAACCAGCCTCCAGTTACACAGACTCTGACTCTGCCAACCTACATCTCCATGGCCAATGCCTACCTGCCCCTCCCTCCCTCCTTCCCTTTCTCTCTCTCAGAGCTTCATTATTTCTCATGGAAAAGAAAAGTGCAATAGCTTCTTGGCTCCCTGCTTCTTCTTCTTTTTTTTTTTTTTGAGTTGGAGTATCACTCTGTCACCCAGGCAGGAGTGCAGCCCTGACCTGCTGGGTCAGTTGATTCTTCCACCTCAGTCTTCCAAGGAACTACAGGTGCAAGTCACTATGCCCTGGTAATATTTTTTTTTTTTTTTTTGAG